GAGGGGTGTTGTGGTGGTGGTGGGAAGTACAGTGCCTGCACTCTGAAGGAGGGGTGTTGTGGTGGTGGTGGGAAGTACAGTGCCTGCACTCTGAAGGAGGGGTGTTGTGGTGGTGGTGGGAAGTACAGTGCCTGCACTCTGAAGGAGGGGTGTTGTGGTGGTCGGTGGGAAGTACAGTGCCTGCACTCTGAAGGAGGGGTGTTGTGGTGGTGTGGGAGGTACAGTGCCTGCACTCTGAAGGAGGGGTGTTGTGGTGGTGGTGGGAAGTACAGTGCCTGCACTCTGAAGGAGGGGTGTTGTGGTGGCGTGGGAGGTACAGTGCCTGCACTCTGAAGGAGGGTGTTGTGGTGGTGGTGGGAAGTACAGTGCCTGCACTCTGAAGGAGGGATGTTGTGGTGGTGGTGGGAGGTACAGTGCCTGCACTCTGAAGGAGGGACTGTTGTGGTGGTGGTGGGAAGTACAGTGCCTGCACTCTGAAGGAGGGGTGTTGTGGTGGTGGTGGGAAGTACAGTGCCTGCACTCTGAAGGAGGGGTGTTGTGGTGGCAGTGGGAGGTACAGTGCCTGCACTCTGAAGGAGGGGTGTTGTGGTGGTGGTGGTGGGAAGTACAGTGCCTGCACTCTGAAGGAGGGTGTGTTGTGGTGGTGGTGGTGGAGGTACAGTGCCTGCACTCTGAAGGAGGGATGTTGTGGTGGTGGTGGGAAGTACAGTGCCTGCACTCTGAAGGAGGGGTGTTGTGGTGGTGGTGGTGGGAAGTACAGTGCCTGCACTCTGAAGGAGGGGTGTTGTGGTGGTGGTGGGAAGGTACAGTGCCTGCACTCTGAAGGAGGGGTGTTTGTGGTGGGGTGGGAGTACAGTGCCTGCACTCTGAAGGAGGGTGTTGTGTGGTGGTGGTGGGAAGTACAGTGCCTGCACTCTGAAGGGAGGGATGTTGTGGTGGTGGTGGGAGTACAGTGCCTGCACTCTGAAGGAGGGGTGTTGTGGTGGTGGTGGGGAAGTACAGTGCCTGCACTCTGAAGGAGAGGGATGTTGTGGTGGTGGTGGGAAGTACAGTGCCTGCACTCTGAAGGAGGGGTGTTGTGGTGGTGGTGGGAAGTACAGTGCCTGCACTCTGAAGGAGGGTGTTGTGGTGGTGGTGGGAAGTACAGTGCCTGCACTCTGAAGGAGGGGTGTTGTGGTGGTGGTGGGAGTACAGTGCCTGCACTCTGAAGGAGGGGTGTTGTGGTGGTGGTGGGAAGTACAGTGCCTGCACTCTGAAGGAGGGGTGTTGTGGTGGTGGTGGGAGGTACAGTGCCTGCACTCTGAAGGAGGGGTGTTGTGGTGGTGGTGGGAAGTACAGTGCCTGCACTCTGAAGGAGGGGTGTTGTGGTGGTGGTGGGAAGGTACAGTGCCTGCACTCTGAAGGAGGGGTGTTGTGGTGGTGGTGGGAAGTACAGTGCCTGCACTCTGAAGGAGGGGTGTTGTGGTGGTGGTGGGAGTACAGTGCCTGCACTCTGAAGGAGGGGTGTTGTGGTGGCGGTGGGAGGTACAGTGCCTGCACTCTGAAGGAGGGGTGTTGTGGTGGTGGTGGTGGGAAGTACAGTGCCTGCACTCTGAAGGAGGGATGTTGTGGTGGTGGTGGGAAGTACAATGCCTGCACTCTGAAGGAGGGATGTTGTGGTGGTGGTGGGAGGTACAGTGCCTGCACTCTGAAGGAGGGACATTGTGGTGGTGGTGGGAAGTACAGTGCCTGCACTCTGAAGGAGGGGTGTTGTGGTGGTGGTGGGAAGTACAGTGCCTGCACTCTGAAGGAGGGGTGTTGTGGTGGTGGTGGGAAGTACAGTGCCTGCACTCTGAAGGAGGGGTGTTGTGGTGGTGGTGGTGGGAAGTACAGTGCCTGCACTCTGAAGGAGGGATGTTGTGGTGGTGGTGATGGTGGTGGTGGGAAGAACAATGCCTGCACTCTGAAGGAGGGTGTTGTGGTGGTGTGGTGGGAAGTACATGCCTGCACTCTGAAGGAGGGATGTTTGTGGTGTGTGGTGTGGAAGTACAATGCCTGCACTCTGAAGGAGGGATGTTGTGGTGGTGGTGGGAAGTACAATGCCTGCACTCTGAAGGAGGGATGTTGTGGTGGTGGTGGGAAGGTACAGTGCCTGCACTCTGAAGGAGGGATTGTGGTGGTGGTGGGAAGTACAGTGCCTGCACTCTGAAGGAGGGGTGTTGTGGTGGTGGTGGGAGGTACAGTGCCTGCACTCTGAAGGAGGGGCTTGTGGTGGTGGTGGGAGGTACAGTGCCTGCACTCTGAAGGAGGGGGTGTTGTGGTGGTGGTGGGAAGTACAGTGCCTGCACTCTGAAGGAGGGGTGTTGTGGTGGTGGTGGTGGGTACAGTGCCTGCACTCTGAAGGAGGGGTGTTGTGGTGTGGTGGTGGGAAGTACAGTGCCTGCACTCTGAAGGAGGGGTGTTTGTGGTGGTGGTGGGAGTACAGTGCCTGCACTCTGAAGGAGGGGTGTTGTGGTGGCTGGTGGGAGGTACAGTGCCTGCACTCTGAAGGAGGGGTGTTGTGTGGTGGTGGTGGGAAGTACAGTGCCTGCACTCTGAAGGAGGGATGTTGTGGTGGTGGTGGGAGGTACAGTGCCTGCACTCTGAAGGAGGGATGTTGTGGTGGTGGTGGTGGGAAGTGCAGTGCCTGCACTCTGAAGGAGGGGTGTTGTGGTGTGGTGGTGGGAAGTACAGTGCCTGCACTCTGAAGGAGGGTGTTGTGGTGGTGGTGGTGGGAAGTCAGTGCCTGCACTCTGAAGGAGGGATGTTGTGGTGGTGGTGATGGTGGTGGTGGGAGGAACAATGCCTGCACTCTGAAGGAGGGATGTTGTGGTGGTGGTGGGAAGTACAATGCCTGCACTCTGAAGGAGGGATGGTTGTGATGGTGGTGGTGGGAAGTACAATGCCTGCACTCTGAAGGAGGGATGTTGTGGTGGTGGTGGGAAGTACAATGCCTGCACTCTGAAGGAGGGACATTGTGGTGGTTGTGGGAAGTACAGTGCCTGCACTCTGAAGGAGGGACGTTGTGGTGGTGGGAAGTACAGTGGAACCTCGGCTTACGAGCTTAATGCGTTTCATGACCTTGCTCATATCCCGATCTGCTGTGAGCTGAGTCAATTTTCCTCATTAAAGTTAATGAATGCCATTAATCTTTTCCAGTGGAATTCTGCTCTCAGTGCAGGACAGAATATTTGAATATGACGTGATATCAACTCGGCTTATTTATCTTTCACAAATTCTGCTACTATAACATAAATAAACAATTATGAATATGAAACCTGATACATACTCTACGAATGAATAAAATTGTCATGTGACAAGTGTGCAGCCATTCCCTACCTAAAGCGTCCCTTAGTTGTGGGACAGCTGGAGAACTCCAGAGACCATCTACTCATCCCCTGCATCCCCCGACAACTCAGACACCACCTATCCAGCTTCGTGAATAGTGGATTCAATTGGGGCCACTTCTCTCCTACAATCTGCATCCGCCTCGTGAACATCCTGTTTGTGATACTTTTAATTACCATTCTTCTACAAGCAGCTTGAACCCAGTAGCATACTGTGTTCTGATACTTAATTACCATATTATGATATTGCAAGCATCATGACTACACATAGTATACATATGAATGACTTAGTAGACATATATTACTGAATAGATTGAATGAGTCTATGACTTAGCTGAGCTGACAGTGTTTGTATCTAAAATAACTGACTTACAGATTAATGACTTAACTGACTTACGACTGAAATAATGGTATAATACACATGAAACTGAAGAACTTGCAAATGTGTTTGTCTAGAGCACGTTGCCATACCGTCTGTTTTAGTAATGTCTGCAGGGTTAAAATAGCCCAGAGCTCCATTCATAATTTATGCACATCAGTACAACCATCGACTGTTGAGTACCAGAGCTTCTGAAAATAAATGGTACAAAAATACCCACCACAATATACAAACAAACACCCATAGGTGAATTTATTTTGATCCTTTGTTGACAAACGTTTAGCCCAACACAGTGGCTTATTTTCAAGTCAACACACAGATCTGTTGTGTTGATCTTGAAAAAGCCCATGTGTGAGGGGAGACAAAACGTTGTCAAATAAAGGATCGTATCTAAAACTGCATGTGGGGTTTATGTTAGCACCAGTACTTGTCATATCCACCTCAGCCCAGTAGGACCACAACATAACTTCCCCTCTCCACAATCATCCACACTACTACCATCCACCTCAGCCCAGTAGGACCACAACATAACTCTCCACTCTCCACAATCATCCACAAACACCAGCACCCACAATTTAAGGTAAGAAATATTATTTTTGTAGTCTTAAGCAGTAAAAACAACATAATACATCATGATAATTAACTTCAGTTATATATTCACTTTTATTTTTGTAAGATCTGGAGGTCTATAAAAAAGTTGTTTGAGGGGGAAGCTCACATCCTAAATATTTGCTCGTATCCAGAAACAAAAAACTGAACGAGCGACTGCTGGTATCCTGAAAAACTCGTATGGTGGGGTACTCGTAAGCCGAGGTTCCACTGTACAGTAGTATATTGCGTGCACAAATGAGGTAGTTGCTGGTGTATGTATTAAACTTTATGCATCATTTTCTTGCAACACAATAAGTGTCAGGGGCCCAAGATTGTTCAGCTGCCTCCCAGCATACATAGAGGGGATTACCAATAGACCCCTGACTGTCTTCAAGAATGTGCTGGACAGACACCTCAAGTCAATACCTGACCAACCAGGCTGTGGTTTGTACATTGGTTTGTATGCAGCCAACGATAACAGCCTAGTTGATCACACCTTAATCCACCACAAGGTCTGGTCACAGAAGAGGCCACAGGGGCATTGACCCCTGAAACCTCTCCAGGTAAACTCCAGGTATAAATAATTTTATTCTTGACCTAACAGTTTTGTAGTTTTTAACATAATTCAAACTGTACAGAAATAGGAATAGTTTTATTTTTTTCAGGTTGTCGGCTGTAATCAAAAAGATACAACGTTAGAAACAGCAATTAGCATTAAGGCCTATAAGAGGACCAAGCGGCAGGGACTGAGAGAAGCTCGTATCACCGAGAAGTTAGAGAAGCAGCAGAAACTGGAGGCTGATCGCAAGAAACGTCAGAAACATCAAGAATATCTCAATGCAGTTCTTCAGCACGGTCGAGAACTGAAGTAAGGTTAAAGGTTTTCTGTTTTGACATGTTTTAAACAGCTTGATGTTTTAGCAGTTTTCTTGATGTTTTATCAACTTCCTTGATGTTTTAAAGATTTTCTAGACATTTTAACAATTTTCGTGATGTTTTAACGATTTTCTTGATGTTTTAATAACTTCCTTGATTTTTAACAACTTCCTTGTTGTTTTAACAGCTTATTTGATGTTTTAAAAATTTGTTGTGATTTTTAAAAATTTTCATGGTGTAGTCATCCCTTTGAATTCACTGGCTTCCTTATTTATTGGTTTTTATCATTCAACTTTTTTGTTAATGGGTAATCAGCGATTACATTAAATTTTCCGATGCTTTTTCTCCCATGATTAAGTCGCACTTTACTCTGTTAATTACAGTTGTTCCTCCACTTACAATGGGGTTACGTTCCAACGAACCCATTGAAAATATCGTTAGTTGAATATAAGTGTGATACGATAAATAAGCAAATAACTGTCACTGAATAAGTAATTAAACAGATAATTACTGTAACTATCTAAATACAGTGGACCCCGCATAACGATCACCTCTGAATGCGACCAATTATGTAAGTGTATTTATGTAAGTGCGTTTGTACGTGTATGTTTGGGGGTCTGAAATGGACTAATCTACTTCACAATATTCCTTATGGGAACAAATTCGGTCAGTACTGGCACCTGAACATACTTCTGGAGTGAAAAAATATCGTTAACCGGGGGTCCACTGTACTACCAGTATTGAAAAATAAATAAATGAATGCAAGTTTATCCTATCAACAAATGGCTGGATGAGTGCAGTTGTGTATGGCGGCAAAAACACGACTTTTATGCACCATTGCAAAGTTGGTCATTTGTGTATCCATGTTCTCTTGTGCTACCATCCACAGGATGGGTCTGGGGTGTACCTTACCTTTGAGGAGTTTTGAGAGTTTCACTACTCTTGGAACCCGGCCCGGATGCACAATAAACTAGCCATGTCAGTGGCAAAAATCTAAAAATTTAATCATAAAGTCTAAATGTCATAAGTCAGGCCATTGTAAAACAAGGAGCATCTGTATGTCTTATGAATATCAATATTAAAAATGATTAGAATAATACAGAAAATTAAAAAGCCTTGATTGATGAAATACACAATGAACCCAAATTGTCAATAAATTTTTTGGTGCAAATCTAATTTTGTATTCGCAGTTTTTAGTTTGATGCACCACTAGGAATACAATGCTTTTTTGAGGGAAAACTGAATGATTGTGTGTGTATGATTGTATTATTAGATCTTGCATCTTGAAGATTTTGAATATTGTATTCACAGCAGGTTGAATATTGTAAATACATCAGATTGAATATTAATTATTATTATTTTTTATTTTTTTTTTTTCAACAAGTCGGCCGTCTCCCACCGAGGCAGGGTGACCCAAAAAAGAAAGAAAATCCCCAAAAAGAAAATGCTTTCATCATCATTCAACACTTTCACCACACTCACACATTATCACTGCTTTTGCAGAGGTGCTCAGAATACAACAGTTTAGAAGCATATACGTATAAAGATACACAACATATCCCTCCAAACTGCCAATATCCCAAACCCCTCCTTTAAAGTGCAGGCATTGTACTTCCCATTTCCAGGACTCAAGTCCGACTATAGAAAAAAAAACCGGTTTCCCTGAACCCCTTCACTAAATATTACCTGCTCACACTCCAACGTCGTCGGCCAAGTACCATTCGTCTCCATTCACCCCAAAACTAACACGCTCAGCACGTTGCGGGAAAGGGTCCAACCCCCTCCCCACAAAACCTCCTTTACCCCTTCTCCAACCCTTTCGAGGACGACCCCTACCCCGCCTTCCTTTCCCCCTATGATTATATGTTTCCATGTCATTTCTTTGCATTTTCTCTCTAAATGACCAAACCACCTCCCCCCCCCCCCTCGCCTTGACTAATACTTTTATTAACTCCCACACTTTTCCTTTTCCACACCCCGAATTTTGCTAAAAATTTTCACCCCACATTGCCCTTAAAAAAGGACATCTCCCCTGCCCCAACCGTCTCCTCGCTCTGCATTTTCCACCCAAGTTCCACCCCTATAAGAGTGTTGGTACTATATACTTTCATACATACCTTCTTTTTTCCTCCCTAGATAACGTTTTTTGACTCCACATATACCTCAACGCACCCCCTCACCCTTTTTTTCCCCCATCAATTCTATGTTCCCCATCCTTTATAAAACCTCGCCACACGTAACTCCCCCAAAATTGAAAAACTTCACTTCTTCCATACTCCTCCCAATTTTTATCCAATTTTTTTTTATCCAAATATTTGACACCTACCCTTACTTTTTCTATGTTCACTTTTAAAATTTTTTACCTTTTCACACTTCCCCAAATTCCACTAACCTTTGCAATTTTTTTTTTAGAAAACTTTAGAAACAGCAAAAATAACTGTGTTAATTCCCTTTTGAAAATTTTATTCCCATAATTTAATCCCCCCCCCTCCCGAAAACCCTAGCATTTATTTTTTAATCCCCATCTATAAAAATATTTTAAACAAACCCTGGTGACATTACACATCCCGCTAAGCTAGTTTTACCGGGAAAAAAAGTCTCCCTTCTTCTAAACCCCAACCGAGCCTCCTTCCTCATAAAAACTCTTTACAGCTTTAGAACTTACCACTATTCCATATATTGCAACATCTGCCCCAAATTTCTCCCTTCCACTCTTCTTTTCCCTTTTTAAATCATAAAAGCAATATAAACTTCCCTACCCTTTATCTAAATCGTTCCCCTTTTTCAATGTAAACACTTGATTAACATCCCCCACCCCCTTGAAAAACCCCTTGCCATCCCCAATCCTACATTCTGTTTACCTTAATTCTTTCAAATTTTAGCCCCCCCGTCACTTTTCCTGGATACTCAATAAACTTATTCCTCTATAATTTTTACAATCTCTTTTTTGTCCCCTTTCCCTTTATCTTTATATAAAGGGGGGGGACCTGTACATGCTTTCCGCCAATCCCTAGGTAAAAGACCTATTCCCCTCTTTCATTACATTATTTTTAAACAAAGTACCAACCACCTCCAACATATATCCCCCCCTGCTTTTAACATTTTCTGTCATGATCCCATCAGTTCCAGTGCTTTACCCCCTTTCATTCTCGGAATGCCTCGCGTACTCCCCACACTTACATTCTGCTCTTTTCACTCCTAAAAGATGGTATACCTCCCTGACCAGTGGCATTGAAATTAACCGCTCTCCCTTTCTTCCTCATACATTTAAAGTTCCTCAAAAATATTCCGCCTTATTACTACTAATACCTCCTCCCCCCATCTACTAACTCCCATCTCTGTTTTTAACTGACCAAATCCATATTTTCCCTAGGCTTTTCTTACTTGTTTAACTCACTCCAAAATTTTTTCTTATTTTCATTAAAATTTCTTGAAGTTGGCCTCTCCCACTCATATCATCTGCTCTCATTTTGCACTCTCTCACCATCTCTTCACCTTTCTTTAACTCTCCATATACTCTGCTCTTTTATAACACTTCTGCTTTGTAAAAAACCTCTCGTTAGGCTAACTTTTTCATCTTTTATCCCACCCTTTACTTCATCATTCCACCAATCACTCCTCTTTCTCCTGCCCCCTCCCACCCTCTTATACTACAAAACTTGTGCCCCAACATTCTAATAACTGCATTTGTTTTAAAAACTATCCAAACCCTCTTCAAAACCCCCCCCACTAGTCATTTTTGCACTAGCTCACCTTTCTGCCAGACCCAACAGTCGCTTATATCTCCCCCGAACTTCCCTCCTCCCTTAGTTTATACTTTCCACCCTCCTCTTATTTGTTTTGCCACCTTCCTCTTTTCCCATATACCTCTTACTCTAAACTGTAGCATACAAACTAAATATTTTTTTTTTTTCTTTTATTATCACACCGGCCGGATTCCCACCAAGGGCAGGGTGGCCCGAAAAAAAGAAAAACTTTCACCATCAGTCACTCCATCACTGTCTTGCCAGAAGAAGGGTGCTTTTACACTTACAGTTTTTAAACTGCAACATTAACACCCCCTCCTTCAGCAGTGCAGGCACTGTACTTCCCATCTCCAGGACTCAAGATCCGGCCTGCCGGTTTCCCTGAATCCCTTCATAAATGTTACTTGCTTGCTACACTCCAACAGCACGGGTCAAGTATTTAAAAAACCATTTGTCTCCGTTCACTCCTATTCAAACACGCTCAGCATGCACTGCTGGAAGTCCAAAGAGCACCTCGCCACAAAAACTCCTTTAACCCCTCCCTCATCCCTTCCTAGGGCGAAACCCTACCCCACGCCTTCCTTTCCACTCAGGACTGATTACACTCTTGAAAGTCATTCTGTTTCGGCTCCATTCTCTTACATGTCCGAACCACCTCAAAAACCCTTCCTCGCCCTCTGGGACAACAGTTTTGGTAATCCCGCACCTCCCTAACTTTCCAAAATACGAAATTCTCTGCATTATATTCACACCACACATTGCCCTCAGACATGACTCTCCACTGCCTCCGCCTTCTCCTCCTTGCAACATTCATCAACCACGCTCACACATATAAGAGCGTTTGTTTTAAAAACTATACTCTCATACATTCCCCTCTTTCCTCCAAGGACAAAGTTCTTTGTCTCTCCACAGACTCCTAGTGCACCACTCACTCTTTTTCCCTTATCAATTCTATGATTCACCTCATCCTTTTCATAGACCAATCCGTTGACACGTCCACTCCCAAATATCTGAATACGTTCACTCCTCCATATCTCTCCCTTCCAATCTGAAGTATTCATTCTTTCTTCACCTAATTCTTTTTGTTATCCTCATTACCTTATCTTTCCTGTATTCACCTTTAATTTTCTTCTTTTGCACAACCCTACCAATTCATCCACCATCTCTGCAACTTCTCTCAGAATCTCCCAAGAGCACAGTTGTTCATCGGTCAAAGAGCAGCATGTGACAACTCCACTTTGTGTGT